GGGGGGGGGGGGGTACAAAAGCGTTACGATGAATAGGGCCCCGGCCTCCGTCATCAATTATGTACACTTAAAGTAGCTACTTTAGATTTGCTTTTGTATAGTTACTTCAAGTCTAAAATATTTGATTGTCTTCAACTTTAACGCCAAAGTATGCACATAATACTCGAAAAACCTAGTAGTTTCTACATGCAAATTTTTATATTGGCCTTATACAATTTTTCAACATGATTCATTCTGTTTAAATATTCTCTTTCCCGAAAATCGTAATTTAGAGCCATTAAAGATCCAATATTTTGTCCGGGACACCCTGTATGTTATTCTCTACAACATAAGGTACTTCTTCAGATAAAATGTCCAATATAGCGCAACAACGAATTCAGCGGGAGTTCAGAGAAGTTGTAAAAAGCAAAGAAATTGCAGATTCCGGTGTTCAATTAGAACTGGTAAGGATTATTATTGGTAACCTTTTCATAACATTTTCATCATATAACATGTATAACTCAATAGTGTAATGTGTAACATAGTTACTTATTTTGAAACTTAATTACTTTATTTGTAACTGAATTACTTATTGTGTAACATAATTATGTATTGTGTAATATTAATACTCATTGTATAATATAATTACTGATTGTGTAACATAATTACTTATTGTGTAACATAATTACTGATTGTCTAACATAATTACTGATTGTCTAACATAATTACTGAGTGTGTAACATAAGTGCTGATTGTGTAACATTATTACTTGTTGTGTACTATAATTACTGATTGTGTAATATAATTACTGATTGCTATTTTTAAAAAGGATAATTTCATGATATACTGAATAGCTACCTAGCCATTTATTAGTATTATTTTCATCTTTCAAATGCAGGGTATACAGTCTATTTCCACGGAAAATAAGATTTTTCTGTAGCAGATTCTTGAAATATAATGATGTTGAGACTAGTGGATATCCTCTTCCAGTCCGGAAGCTCTACTAACCAAACCAAATATATTTGATAGTACCTAAAACCCATATTGTAACTTAGACTTTAAATTAATATATATTTCAGTTCGTTTATTTTTGGTCCTTTATTCGTCGCTACAATGAAATTTAAAAAGCACATTCCCTTCAAGTAAAAAATTAAATTTGTATTAAAAATCGCTAATCTCAATTTTTGATCAGATTCGAGATGATTTGACTGAGTTAGCTGGTACAATAGCTGGACCCCCCGATACACCTTATCAAGGAACCCAGACCTTTCTTTTATTTTTTATATGATAACTTTTATGTTAAGAACTGCATGTCTGATTCACAATGGTATCATTTAAACCTTCATTCGAGAACAAATTATGAAGATAACCTGGTTTTTATATCGGAAAGTTTATAATTTCCAAAAAATGTCCATAATTCAACATTCAAAATTTTAAGATAGAAAAACATTGATATCTCTTTGATTGTTGCTCAGGTAAAGGTGTCAAGGGTAGCGTTAATGAATAGGACATACGATTTTTAAAGTGGGGCTAGATAAAACATTGTCAGTCACTTCAAGTGTTGTCAGCCACTTAAAGTGTGTTAGTCACTTGAAGGATTGTCAGTCACTAGAAGCGTTTTCAGTCACTAGAAGCGTTGTCAGTCACTCGAAGCGTTGTCCTTGTCAGTCACTTGAAGTGTTGTCAGTCACTTGAAGCGTTGTCAGTCACTTGAAGCGTGTGCCAGTCACTTAAAGTGTTGTCATCCACTTGAAGTGTGTCAGTCACTTGAAGCGTTGTCAGTCATTTGAAGCATTATCATTCACTTGAAGCGTTGTCATTCACTTGAGGTGTGTTATTCACTTGAAGCGTTGTCAGTCACTAAAAGCGTTACCAGTCACTTGAAGCGTTGCCAGTCACTTGAAGTGTTGTCAGTCACTTGAAGCATTGTCAGTTCCTTTATAGCGTTGTCAGTCACTTGAAGTGTTGCCGTCACTTGAAGCGTTGTCAGTCACTTAAAACTTTTTGACAGAGAAGTGTATTTGTTTTTCCATTTGAGGGTATTTTAGAGTTTTTTTAAAACATAATCAAAGAGTACTTAATGTAAATTATTAATTTAACTGAATATTCAAAATGAACTGTCGGTGGTATCAGGAGGAAAGTTTAGATTAGAAATAAAGATTCCAGACACTTATCCTTTCAATCCTCCTAAGGTTAGCACCAGGATAAATATTTTTAATTGAGGGGGAAGGGGGTGCATTTTTTATTTGAAAATCAATATTTTCCTAGAATTGAGTTGTATTTTATTCGCTAAACTAGGGAAAACTAATGCTTTTTAGGGGTTCCAAATAGATATATGTTTCAGTGAAAAAGCCATAAAAAGGATGAAAAATCATTTCCTCTGATGTTCAATTTCTTAATTTTTTTTTCCCCCAGATCCTCAAAAATCATTCTTGAATTTTTTTACACTTTTTTAAAAGATTTAAAATACGGGGTAGGTGGAAGTAAATTGATAATTTATGTTTAGATTTTTTTAACCCAAAATTAATTTATTTCTCTCCTAAATTGATTTTTTCATGACATACCAACATGCGGAAATTTAAATAACATGTTTACCCCTGGCCCGGAATAGGAACATGTTTACCCCTGGCCCGGAATAGTAACAAATCCAACATTTTTTTATCTTAAAACAGTGGTCTAACGAAAGGGGGGGGGGGGAAGAATTTTGGATGGTATGGGGGAAAAAATAATATAAAAAATGCGCTAGTTTTTTCCTTCATTTTTATATTCTTATCCCAAAATTATATTTATTCTCTTCAATTCAGCCCTGCCTAGGCTATTTCAAAGCAATCTACAGGATAACCGAATGTAAAGCTAAGTCTAAGAATGAAGGACTAATGCTGCTCCGGTACGGAACAATATAAACGTGGTTAAGGCTCATTTGTCATACAGATATAATTATGTTTAAAGATCCTCTCTTCTATTTCTCTTTAATTGTTTTCCTTGTTTCTTAATTTTTCTAATTTTTTAAATTTTGTATCTAGTAGATGAAAAGTCAAAAAACACTAATTCATTTTTTCATTTTTTGTTTTATTTTACGATGAAAAGTCTAAATTTGTGCTAAATTCTAATTTTAATTAGGCCGCATATTTCCGGCATTTATCAAGGAATTTCGTTTTTTTGTTTGCTGATAAGTAAATCCATCACAATTGTTCCACATTTTTGGAGAGTGCTACGAAAAGTAGCTCTATACACATATATATAATATAATACTGTTTTATTTTTTGTTCAATAAGGTTGATAAGAACTAAATTTATCTTTCATATTCAGTATCTTTTTTAAGATAATTTTCAACATACAAATTATTTTTTTCGTCGAAATTTAAAAGAAAATTTTCTCGAAAGAAAGCATATAATTTTATACTTACCTGTTGGGTTAAGATTGATTTTTAATTGTATGGTCGCGGGGCTTGGTCCTTCGCCTGTAAGAGCCTCAGTGCTCGGTCCCCCAGCCTGTCTTAGCCGTGCACGCTCTTATAGCCGTGTCCTTTAGATGTTGACTGTTACTTCAATACTTGTTTGTTTTAC